CTGAGTTGTGATAAATGAATACTATGAACTAGTATTATATTAGATAATCACATTAGCATTATTTATATCTATATCTATCTATATCTATACTATATTAAAAGTACGAAGGCCCTTAGCGAAATGTCTTTCGCCTTTTTTACCCTTTAAAAATTACTTTCACATTATACAAAATTGTAATTTAATTATTCTCCTAATATATAGGATTTTAAAATCAAATAATATTTTATTTATTAAATCTTTGATTATTTGAACTAGCTCATAATATTTAGAATTATTGAAATTTACTATAAATAAACAACTTTGACATTTCTAGATCCTTTTACCCATAAAAACAACGTACTTCAAAATTAGAAAAAGAAAAAATTAATTTGAATTAAACTATTCAAAATGCGTAGGAGGAAATTGTATCTACTTTCGCCTTTGAAAGATGTTCGTTTCTGACAACCAAGCAGCAACCAAGGATCTGTAGCAAATTTTATTATCAATTTGATTCCTTTGAAATAATTTTTTAGAAAAAAAGTATCCTAAATGTAAATAAACAAGAAAATTATCTCTTTAAGAAGGAACAAAGTTGTCTTTAAAGTATTTAACTATTCCTAATTTATATAAAAAAGAAATATCTTGGGTATAATTACAATTTTTTCTAAAATGAATTATGAAATACACTTTGATTTACATGGTTAAATTCTAATATAAATATAAATAATAACAAAAAAAAAGGTAAAAGATACCCTAACACTCCTACCATAAATAAATGAGAAAAATAGTTTTCAAGAAGGGACCAATTTGTCTTTAATTTCTAAAATCTAGGTTAAATAAAAGAGAAAAATATCTTTTTAAAGAGGAATCAATTATTTGCCATTCCAAATTCTCGACAACTTTGCTACTTATCAAACAAAAACTTAAGAATGGTTTTGTTTACATTTTTAATTACTCCTAACATTTTGTTTTTAAAAAATGTTATGTTCTTATATTGAACATTTTTTTTTGTGGGAAATGTCAAGTTCATATAATTCAATGTAAGAAACGAACCATCCTTGCTTTTTTATAAAATTATAGTTAATGTATCTTTGTCTCCAAAAGCAAGAATATTATAACACAAACTATTATTTATGGATGAACATATCTTTTTGTAATGTTAATAGATCATATTACTCTTCAATGATGTACTATTTCTTCAAAACATTATACATACAAAAATATAAAATTATTTAATAACGAATAATAAATAAAACTATAGCATATTCATAGCTCCGTATATAATTGGGGTATCCTCTTTATTGTTCAATTTTTTTAGAATAATACAAACTTGTTATATTCAGTTTAACCTTTTAAGTTGTTTCCTATAAAGAAGTTTAGAGATTACTGCTAATACAAATTAACATATTGTGCTTATTCTGAGCTTTTAAATTAAATACAAAGCCCATATATCAAAATCCAATAAAATATATCAGGACTTTGTGGGGCGACGTTTCTTTTCTTATAGAATTAATTAAACAAAATTAACATTCATATTTTTAGGAAGTTAACTATTTCCTTTAGTTTAAATTCTATATCTAGATTAATAATATTTATGTGATTTTTATTAAGATTTTGATTGTAATATGGGTACACGCGCAGCGCGCGTACCCTAAGACTAGTATAATAAATAATGTAGGATGAAGTTGCGATCAACTCTCATATTTCTGTGACAAACTAAGCATACTCTTTGTTCAACCTCCAATTTAGATCGTAGTAGAGAAGTAGATCCATGTTTACCCATAAAATGGTACACTTGAATTTATACGTGGTTTATAAACAAGTGAATCGACTTGATCCTAAAATGATAAACAAATTAGGTAAAAATATATGACTTAGCATTGAAATCGAGATAAAACAGTAGAAATCTTGATTCCGGGAGTAGGCTTCCGGAGGCAGTAGTAACAGTATAAATAAGCAAGAAGATAAAATATTATTGAATTTTGAACAAAGTATGGTATATGCTCGTATGAAATTCGTGTCCCTTACAATGGTTCTAAAGCTCACTATTTATAATTGCACCTAGGGAATAAGGTCCTAGGATCAAGCCCCTCTTTAATGACAATTACGAGGGCCATGGAAGAATGTGTAATAGTAGGCAGTGAATGTCATATTTTTTGTAATGGACCATATACTTAATGGATAGAATATTCTTCATTAAATACTACTGGGTGACACGCATTTACTTCGTTTTTATGAATACCATTCTCTTCGGTAACAAACGAGATCGTTGCCTTCAAACTTGATTGTTTTTTGTCTTCGGCTCTACGTATCTCTTTATCATGCAAGCATTTAACATGAATATATTTTGGCATATACAGATAGTCCCCCTGCTTTCCGGTGGCATAACCTTGTGTCACCGGGAAGTTGATAAAGATATTTTTCTTGGCGGAAAATTCTCTGACCCCCTCTAAAAAATTTCTGATGGTTGATTAGACACACATCTCTCTGCATTTTATGCCCCAAACATGCATCATCCCACGATTCAACAACACTTTTGTCGGTTATCGAGGTAATTATGGCCACGATCTTAGCCGCCTATTTCTTTAATTATACGCATCAACATTCTCCATTTACACGTAATAACTTTCCAAACTCTCTCTAACTCTATTTACTCAACTCATACCTATTTTCAACTTTCTCTAATCTTCTTTTTCAGAAAAAATCTTTTCTCACTTCTACTAAATATGGCTTCTTCTTTCAAAAATCCCAGTTCTTCAAAGAATGAAAGAAGTGCTGATGATGATGCTCCTCCCACAGTGAGCATCATTATTCCCAAAAGCTTATTACAACTAAGGACTTCGAAGAGAATTACCCTTCTACTAACCCCCGAACATGGGTTGTTGGCGTGTATCCTTCTTCCGTCCGTCCTTCTAGTATCCCTGTTGTGAAGTAAGATTGTGGCTGTCATAGATCGCTCCTGATTTGCTGGAGAGAATAATCTTCTTAAGAAGGGTTTATGTATGTTTATACATATCTCTTTACTTTGGGCCCATTCTCATTGAGTGGGGGGCTTGACTATGTTATCCTGGAGTTATGCCTTCGTTACCAAGTCTGCTTGGCACATGTGCGCCCTTCTGTGTGGAGGAGTATTGCTTGTCTTCGACGACTATGCCAGGAGATGGGGGAAGAAAAATCTTCCTAACTCGGCTGATGAACCTTTATTCACCAAAGATTTTTCATGGGGAAATGATAAACTTTAGTAAAAGTGGTCACTATGCTTTGCTCACCAGCATGGATGATGACAACGACCGGGGGTGAATGGAGCGGTTCATTGTAGTTGCTACCAGGGAAATCATCCCGGCCGCAACTTCATCCTTTCCTGAATTATAGAGTTATACTCGTAAGTTTATCATTTGTCTTCTCTTCTAGTTAAAGATTGTCCTGTGCTATTACTGATCCTTCTTATTTTACTATTTCAGAAACTCGGTGGACAACACCAAGGGTTGAAGGCTTGGACCAAAGGGTTCAGAAGATTTTGGATGTCACTATGCACGAGACCCGCACGTGGAAAGAACTAGCCCTTAAATACAGGTGGAAGGCCAAAAATTATGGTAGGTCGCACTCATATTCTTTTTACCTTTCGTATAGGAGAATTGATTAACCTTTCTCTCCTATTGAATTCCGATATACCCCAAAGCTCCGTTACCATTCCCGAGAAGGATGTTTTGGTTGATCCCTCAAATACAACGAGGTTGTTGCATGAGGTATTTGCCCGAACCGGTGTAGTCAGACCTCCTTCCGCTGCAAGTGCTTCTTGTCAGAGTCTCCAACCATAGAACAAGCAACAAAAGGGAGACGTTCCTCTGCGGCTGAGGGAAAAAATAAAAAGGCAAAGTGTGTCGCGTCCAAGGCATCCTTGGATGTTATGGTGATGAGTGTCGCGCCCGAGCCGGCCATAGACATAATCGTGATCGATGATGATGGAGGATCCAGTGATGAGGGGGATTCTCTACACAGAAGCCGACAACCTTCATCAACTCAACATAATGCTCAACCTGTTGTATTTAGTTACACCAACTGAAGCGATGCCACGACGCTCTAGAGGGAATATGATATGGTGGAAGGTGCTAACTCTCGCTTCCGAGTCCCACTCGCCAAACCCGGTACCATAAGGCTAGGTACTGGGTCTATTTCGTATTCGGTTGATGAACAACCATCAGCCAGAACTGCATTTGGCCCAGCTGCTTCTCAACCTACAACTCCATTAGTTTCATCTCATTCTTTTCCGACCTTGCCTTCACCACCGGCCACTGCTACATCATCTCTACTGGCCACAATCGTCCGAGAGGAGGATGTCCCTCTTTCCCAGTCCCCCGTTCATGGGAATTTGGAGCATAATTATTCTGGCCCCTCCGAAAATCCATGGAGAAGGAAGAGTGTCACCCTCTCGATTTCTACCGGATGCCATCTACTGTCTCGGCCAGTGGAACTTGCTAATTATCTGAAGCCCCTAACTTCAGAAAAAGATAGGGATAAGACAATCTCTCTCGGGAGTGTTTGTTGAACAATACCATGCACAATGCAGCTGCGGTATAATCTTTGTTTCCTCTGTTGTTTCTTCTATCTTTGTTATGACAGGGTTTTGAGTTTGCACTTCTGTTTTGTAGGCTAACTTACTTGCTTCCTGTAAATGCCTAATTTTTACTTTTTCTTTTTTATTCTACATTATAATTTTTAGAATTATTATATATGTGTATTTGTATATTTTGAATTAAGACTTTAGTTTAATTAATTATTATGAGGTTCAAGGGATTGGATTTCTTTATGTTTCATCCAAATTGGGCCGAATTTAAGGCAAAGCAGCTGCTCAAATCAGTTAACCCAGTCCAATGTGAGTCTAAGATCAAACGACGCAGTTCTCATTTAGTAATTGAGACTTGATCTCATCCATCCATGATATTTGATCAAATGGCCCTCATTTGTTTCCCTTTGAGATATAAAAGCCTCTTAAAATCAGATTTTTTGCCATTTCTCTAAAAACCCAAACCCTAGAAACTCCTTTCTTCTATCTTCTCCCTCACCTTTCAACCGCTGCCATTGCCACCACCGTGCTCTGCCGCCAATGGCGGTCAAACACTTTTCACCCTCTCCTCATCTCAACCTCATCTTTTCAAATCTAACCCCCAAATTTCCTAAATTTCTCTCCACCCTCACGAATCCTATTTTGGCCGAAACCCTAGCCCCAAATGCTTTTGAAATTAGTCAATTTCTAGCCATCTCCATCTCATTATACACACATATTTGGATACAACTCTTGAAGAACTACTGATTTATGTTAGTTTCAAACCGATACTTCAACCCGGCGCCGCCGTCCACCACCCCATTGCCGTCCCACCACCTTCACTATCGGACGACTGCACCATTGACCCTCCCTTTTTTAACCATCTTCGACTTAAAGACCCTCATTTCTTTCGGGTATGACGCTGAAATTCATTCATTTTAGCATCTGCCGAAATGAAGCGAGCATTCCAAGGTTGGATAGCCACTACTCGAGGTTCTCAAAATCATCTCGCTGCTCGAATCGATAACGAATGCCTTTGTTGGGTAAAATCATAATCCCTTGTTCATTGATTTTATGTTTTTCTTTGTTGACTGATTTTAGATTGTTTTTGTTTGATTAGTTTAAGTTCTATTTTTTTCTTAATTAGTGATATTAGTTGTCGTTTGTTGATTTTGAATTATTATGTTATTCGTTCTGTTAGTTCATTGTATCAATCGGATTCTTATCTCATAGTTTCTGCTAGTGGTGTTGAAATTAGTTATAGATTCAAGTTTGTAAACTTCTAATTTCTGTTATTTCATGTTTAGCTCGTCATGCTAATTAACTAAAGTTTCAGCTTTTCGGCATAATCATTTGTCAATTTGGTTACTCGTTTGTTTGAATTAGTTGTATTAGTTAGTCGTTTTTTAGTTGTGAATCGGTGATGTTAGTCGTCTCTTGTTGATTCTTAGTTTAGTCCTTTATAATTGAGTTAGCGATATTATTTCGTCCATTTTACTAGTTTGGTCTATCACTACTATTGTTTGTTTGTTTGGTTTCAATTAGTTTATGTGGTGATGCTGTTTTGATTTAAATATTTTAAGAGACATGTTAGTTAATTTATAAGCTTGTTTGGTTAGTTTGATAGCCATGTTGTTGCATTCCAAATTGATATTCCACTAATGGTATTGCTTCTGATTGGTAGTAGTTCATAATGAGGACTGTCTTGGTCGCTTTAGGCTCTGAATATTTGAGCTAAATGTTGAATTGAAGGGAGGGGGTACTTGAGTGTAGGCCCTTTATTTGGTTGCTTTTACAGTTAAGGACTGCTTTGGAGTATAATACTCCAAAAGGCTGTCCAGATTTGGTGAGGAAAACTGTTCATTGGACAAAGTTCTGGTTTTGGATAGATTTTTGGTAAAAAATCTATTATTTTGAATAGATTTTGGCCAAAAATAATCTGTCTCAATGCCCTTTCTCCTCCTATATAAAGAAGGGTTATTTTTCTCATTTCTATACATCTTTTATACACTCTATCACACCTAAAGAATACATCTTTTACACACCTAAAAAATACATCTTTTACACACTCTATACATTAGAGAGACTGTGGACACAAAAACAATAGAGAGTTTGAGAGTTTTAAGTGAGTTTCTGAGAGCAAAGAATACTTCAAAATACAAAGGTCCTTGAAGCGAGTTTCTAGTTTCTTCTTTTCTTAAAAGTCGTTGAGTTCCTGGTTCAAATTCTGGATCCTTTCGGGTTTTTTTTGCTGGATTCTGCTGCTGTTTTGTTGCTGATTTTGCTAAATTTTAAAATCCATTTCATTCTCCGCTGATATTTCCTTTTCTGTTGACCAATTAATTAGTGTACTACGCTTGGATCAAGAATAAATGAAAAATGAGATGATTCAAGCTTTTTTATTTTAAATTATGCCTTGAATACATTTTGACCATGTATATTGACGTAAGTATGAGCATTTGTAATACAATAGCTCTCAATTTGGAAAAAGCTCTCACTTTGTTTCTTTGCCAAGTTGTTAGATTCGGGAACATAAATTATGTTGGTGTTTGAATTGTAAATTTCATGGGGGCATGTTTCAGTCCATTTGTTTCAATCTAAAACTAATTTCCGCTCTCCTTTCAAATGTTGAAAAATATTTCTTATGTCATGGATCAATTGTTGATGAAACTGTGAAAAATATATAGGTTTAAATGATGAGTATGATAGTAAGGTTTAGAAAGAATATCTTTTTTTGTGAGGGAATGAAGTGTGCTGGTGAGGTTTAATGGAGAGGATTAGTGGAAAGAATATTTTGTGTGACTTATGTTGGCTACAATTCGTATAGTTAGCTCGTTAGCTGAATCGTCCTCTGTTAAGTAGTAACTTTATTTGAGATTAATCTTTCAAAATTCATTGAATAATAACATGGTGTGAATCATGATATTTAGTTATTTTGTTCTTAAGAAAACTTAATGTGTTATGATTTATTAATGATAAATGGAACATGGTTCATCAACGAATGAAGAGATTGTTTGATTTGTTAGTTTTCTTGTTAAAATTTAAAATAAGATATATTGTCTTAGATAATTTGGTATGTGTGGAAGAATTGAATAAATGAGTAGGATTGAGAATGAAACTTACTAACTGCTTGAGTTGAAGTTTATCGAGCAAGTTAATCGGGTGGTATAATTGAATATATAAAAGATTGATTTTATTAGTTATTCTATTCCAAATCATAACAAAGCTGGCGCATATCTTTTTAATAATCAGCCCCCATATTTTCAATAAGATGTTCCATTTCTTTAAATTATTTACAGCTGGCCCAACATTAATTTTCTATATTTTTCCTACTAATTATTTTCAAAAATCGGATTTTTTACTAATTTAATAACTTAATAACCTTTAATAAATTAATTAAACACTAGGAAATTTAGGACGCTCCAAATATAGACCATGTGTTCACACACGATCCTTAGTCATTTTTAATTAATAAAAATGGTCATGTGTGCATTCGTGCTCCTTGAATCTCTAAATAACAAATTGCATTTAGCTAGGTGTTCATACCCATTCCTTGGTTAAACGCACATGATAAAAAGGCCTTGTGTGCTTACACGCTCCTAGGCCAAATATAATAAAAAGCGGCAATGGGCGATAATAATTTAATGTAAATAATAGTTTATCCAAATTAATTCAAGCCATTTTTAGTCAATAAAAGGGCCACAAGACTCGAAAAATGCCTTATACCTTCTCCCCGATCAATAGAATTTCTTATTCGGACTATATTTTCTCAGACCAATAATAAAAGATTCAAATCTTCCTTTGAATAGGGATTCAAATAAAAGGTGACTTGGAATGCCCAAAAATTAATTCCAAGTGGCGAATTTGTAAATAAAATAATCCCTATTTCCAAAATATCACTTTAATTGGAAAAACTTTTAACCCACAACAATCACATAATATATTTTGCAGGGTGGTAAAAAGGGGCGTGACAGCTTCGGCGACTTCGCTGGGGACCTATAAGAATTCGAGCTTGTACATTGATTAATTTTGGCTTTTAGTATTTTTGGATATTACTGTTTATGTGAGCCTAATGCGCTAATTGTCACTCATTTACTACTTTGATATTATTTGAACTGTATATATAAACTGTCTTCTCTCGGACCCCATCTGAGTTTTCTGATAAGTAATAGTGTTGTGTGTGCTGACCAGCTCCCGAAAATTTTCTGTTTGAGATAAAGCCAGTATGCAGACCTGCTCCAGGTGAAGGATTTAGTCATACATGTTTAGGCGGGGAGAACCACCAGTAATGCCGGAACGGTCGGCACGCTGACGCTCCTCGGCTTGGGTTGTCCGATCGAGTAAGCCAGGTCAAGATACCTTCTCTTGTAAGATTTAAAAATGTTGAAAATAAGCCACATGCCTAGTTATCTCTAGTAGGATCGTTTTGTTGCATCATTCGACTTAGCGAAGCTCGACACAGGGGTCAGGATCGTATATGACAGGTATCCTTTTTGAGACCATCATATTCACTTACGTGCTACTTGCTACATCACTTGGAAGACATGTTTGCATTATTGACCGGCTTTAGAAAAATTAGAGCGGAGTTGGAAATAAAAAAAAATATCATTCCCCCTGGTTCAGTATAGATACCCAATTTTTACTAACATTTTCGAGGTGGTTCGATGTAAGGTATTTTTTTTAGAAAAAAGAAGAAGTAATAAACAAAATTTTCAAAATTATTCATTTTTTTTAAAAATCTTGTTTGAACTATGCGGGTCTGATTCTCACAAATGTAGTGGGATGCGTAGGCAACCTCCATCGGGTCCGACTTTCAATTTTTAAAAAGTTTTCGAAAATCGGTGTGTCCATAATATTTGAAAAATAAAATAAAATTAATAATAATAAATCGATAGTTTTGTCGTTTTTGTCATTGCATCTGGTTCTTTTTTCCAATACATCCCTAATATCTTTCTCGAAAGTACCAAAGAGTTGTTCTCGAATAAATGGTCATTTTTCCTCCTTTGCAATAATTTTTACTAGTGTGCCCCTATGTCTGTTCCTTTTGCCGAGACAGCCTTAAAACCTTTCTCGGGAGCGCCGAAGGGTTGTTTTCATAAAAATAATTAATTTTTTCTATTTTTTAAAATTATTTCACTCATGTGTCCGACCATTTTTGTCGAGACATCCTTAAAACCTTCCTCGGCTTCCTCGGAAGAACCGAAATGTCGTTTTCGTAAAAATAGTTATCTTTGACCATTTTTGCCTTTGTCCAGCCATCATCCCATGACAACCATGAAATATTCATAGTAAGTGCTAAAGGGTTGTTTATGTTAACATGGTCATTTTGTCCCCTCATGTCCTGCAGTTTTACCAAAACCTTCCTAGAATAGATGTTTACTTTCAAATATTATTTGCACAAACTGCATGTACATATGTTTCGCCCTTGTGGTTGGGCACGTAGGTAACCTATCTAAGGTTCGTTTCTTTCCCGTCTGAATTGGATGGGCCGGTCAATACTAATTCATTTGGGTCATAATTCATCGGTATTTGAAATAGGGTCATCCCCAAGTGGGATGTCCGCTTTTTAATCAAAACACTTGTTTTTAAAAAAAAATAATTGTCACGACCCAGATTTTCCCACTTTCAGAAATCGTGATGGCGCCTACTCGTGAAAGCTACGCAAGCTGACAATGACAGTCTTACCACCATTGTTATTAATTCAAACAGGAACAGATAATAACTAAAACAAAATAATTATGAAGTGCAGAAGTGATATAGCAATCCAACAATTCTAATACATAGCTACCCCAAAGATCTGGTGTAACAATCCACGAACGACTAAGATTTACTACAAATACAAGTCTGAAAGAAGTACAACTGTTCTCGAAATAGAAGACACAAAAGAAACTAAAACGGGGAAAAGGGACTTCAGGCTCTGCAAACGCCAGCAGATCTACCTTGGTACTCCCTGGACTGAAGGCAGCAACCTCGAATCTACTCACAAGATCAGGCACCGAGATCTGCACAAAAAGTGCAAAGTGCAGTATCAGTATAACCGACCTCATGTACTAGTAAGTGTCGAGCCTAACCTCAGCGAAGTAGTGACGAGGCTAGGACACGACAACCATATAAACCTGTGCAGTTAAATCATATACGAGCAGAACAATAATAACAAAAATAACAGATAAAGATGGGAATGGGAAACATGCTAAGGTTAGACCAAACACTTATCTCGATTCCACGACCAAAAATCAAGCCTCAATTACCGCTTTGCCTCTCAGTTCCACTTCCAATCCGCTTGAATCTAGTCATAATTTGCTTAATAACATCAATAAATGCTAAACAAACCAATTCTAATGCATGAGTATAGATTTTCCAAGGTTTTTCCCAAAAAATAAAAAATTGATCTCGGGCCCGCTTGGTTAAAAACTCAAAGTTCGAATCAAAACCCGATTACCCATTTACCCACGAACTCAAATATGCAATTGGTTTTGAAATCCGATCTCAAATTGAGGTCCAAATCCCCAAATTTCTAAATTCCTAATTTCTACCAAATAACACCTAATTTCTCATAAAAAATCCTAGATTTTGAGATGAAATCATGTAAAAAGATAAAATAGATTGAAGAAAAAAAAGTTAAGATTCATTTACCTATGATTTGGGGAGGAACTTGCTCTAGGAAAATCACCCTTTGGAGTTTAGGTTTTAAAATTTTGAAGAATAAAGTGAAAATCCCGTCCAAATGATGTTTTGTTCAGGTGTAGATGTCGAAATTGCGACAGGAGCTTTGAAATCCTGTCTAATTGCGAAGCTCACTAATGCGAGACAGGCTTTGCAATTGCGAACCTGCTGCATGTCTGCTTCTCTCGCAATTGAGAGCAATTGCAATCTTTGACCCTCCATGTTGACTTTGCAATTGCGAAGGGATGTTCGCAAATGTGAACAAATGCTGGCCTGGGCTTCTTCACAATTGCGATAAAGCCCTCGCATTTGCCAAGCCTGTTAGGCTCGCAATTATGAAGGTTGACCTCGCAATTGTGAGATCAGAGCCTGCAACAATATCGGATGCAACAACAATTTTTTTCTAAGTCTAAACTCACTATGTGGCCTACCAAAAACTCACACGGGCCCTCGGGGCTTCAAACCAAACATGCACACAAGTCTTAAAACATTATACGGACTTGCGCGTGTGATCAAATTACCAAAATAACATCTTAAACAATGAATTTAACACCAAAACTCATGAAATTCATAAAGTAGTTCAAAATTTCTATTTTCTCAACCAAGGGTTCGATTTATATCAACTCTCTTCCGTTTTTCACCAAATTTCACAGATATGACCTAAATACTATATTAAACCTGTACTAGGCTCCAGAACTAAAATATGGGCCTGATACCAACGAGTCCAAACATTATTAAATTTCTAAAAATCCTTATATTTTCTAGCAAACAATTTTCTTCAAAAATTCATTTCTTGGGCTAGGGACCTCGGAATTCGATTCCGGGCATACGTCCAAGTCCCATATTTTACTACAGACCCTACGAGATCGTCAAATCATGGGTCTAGGTCCGTTTACCCAAAACATCGGGGTTGCGCCCCACCACTCTGAACTACATCCCTGGGACGACCTCCTGTTGGCTGGCCTCCACCTCTAGCAGCCTGACCTCCACTTCTAACACCTCTACCTCTACCTCTTGTTGCCTGACCCCTGACCTTATCTAGCTGAGCGGGTGGTAGAACACCTAGTGCCTGAACTATGGAACGCGAACCCTGATGCTGAGAACTGCTCGACGCTCGAGGAAAAAATCTAGCAATGTGCCTCGGATCGCCACAAGTATAACAAGTCCTCGGCTGCTGGGACTGCTAACCCTGGAACTAACCCTGACGGCCTGATTAGCCACCTTAAAAAATCTGGAGCAGAGGTACACTGATAGGAGCTGGTGATGCACTGTAAGGTAGCTGATTTGAATACTACATATGAGAACCACGATCACCTAGAGCACCGTGAGAAGCCTGTAGTGCTGAATGAAATGCCCTGGGAGGATAGCCCCTACCGAAAGAGTCCATACCTTCATACGAGGCACCACTGAATCTACCAGAATGATGGGACCTCTTGTCAATCCCCTGACCACTCCCCTAAGCTAGAACCATCTCAACCCGCCTGGCCACATTGGCCGCATCCTGGAAGGAAATCTCGCTCTTTGTCTCCTTAGCCATCTATAATCGAATAGGTTGAGCGAGTCCCTCAATGAACCTCCTCACTCTCTCTATCTCTCTCTCTCTCTCTCGGTGGGGATTATAAGAAGAGCATGACGAGCCAAATCAACAAACCTAGTCTCATATTGGGTGATAGTCATAGAACCCTACTGAAGGCGCTCAAACTGCCTCCGATAATCCTTTTTCCGAGTGATAGGGAGAAACTTCTCAAGAAATAGCTGAGAGAACTGATCCCAAGTCAAAGCTAGTGATCCAGTTGATCTGGCCAAACAATAATCTCTCCACCACTTCTTGGTGGAACCTAACAGACAAAAAGTAGCAAAGTCGACCCTATTGGTCTGCACTACCCCCATATTCCGTAGAACCTCGTGAAAACTATCCAAATAATCCTAGGGATCCTTTGAAGATGTACCTATATAAGTGATAGTAAAAAGCTTGGTGAACCTGTTCAACCTCCACAAGGCATCAACAGACATAGCTAACCCATCACCGGTCTATTCCACAACACTCGACGGAACTACCCCAACTGGCTGAGCTGCTGGAGTCAGAAACTGGGGAGCTATCTACTCCGGAGTGCAAGTAGCAAGAGTCTAGGCTCCTCCTCCAGCCTGAGAGACAGCTGATGCTACAAGGAATATGCCTGCCTAAGTGACACTCTCCATAAGGCCTACTAGATGGACCAAGGCATCCTAGAGTAATGGGGTGGCAATGAACCCCTTTGGGACTTGAGCTGTCCCTAGTGGAACTGTCTGGGCTGGAACCTCATCCTCAAACTCTACCTGAGGCTCCGCCGCTGGTGCTACTGCTCGAGCTCTGGGTTGAGCCCTGCCTCAGCCTCAGCCTCTAGCACGGCCTCGGCCTCTGCCCCTCGTAGGAGCTACCGCTGGGGGATCCGGCTACTGGTTAGTTGATGAAACGATACGTGTTCTCACCATCTGCGAAAGAA